TGCTGCGTGAAGTATTGATTCCCATCCTTTGACTTTCAGTCTGTGAGTATCCTTTTGGGGTAGATGGCTTTCTTGTAGACAGCATATGATTGCATTTTATTTCTTGATCCATTCTACAAGTCTGTTTCTTTTGATAGGTACATTGTGACCATTTACATTAATGGTTATAACTGTTATATGTTGGTTTATTGTTGACATGTTATCTTTCTGCTGTTGCATCTTTATCTTTTGTTCTGTTTAATTATCTGTTTGCTTAGTGTTTTTTTCCTTGCTTTTTTCCTTAGTGTATCTAACTTGTATTTCAAAATTTTTTGCAGGGTTGGCTTGGTGATTATGAATTTCTTCAGCTGTTCTTTGTCATGGAAGTATCTGATTTCACCATTGATTTGGAAAGATAGTTTTTCAGGGTGCATCAGTCTAGGTTGGAAATCGTTTTCCTTTAGGATCTGGAATACTTCACTGCATGTTCTTCTTGACTTTATTGTCTGTGCTGAGAAGTCTGCTGTGATTCTGATAGGTTTTCCTTTATAAGTGATTTGTCTTTTCTCTCTGACAGCTTTTAATAATTTATTCTTGGACTGGATTTCTGGGATGGTGATTATTATATATTGGGTTGTAGCTTTATTTTGGTTATGACAGTTTGAAGTTCTATATGCTTCACTGAACCTGATGTTGGTTTCTGATCTCATGCTTGGGAAATTTTCAGCTCTTACTCCTCTAAATATCATCTTGACATCCTTTATGTTGTCCCCTTCTTTTTCATTAATCCCTATCAATCTTATGTTGTTTTTTTTTGCATCATCTTGCAGTTGTGAATTATTATTTCCTAATTCTTTGTTATTTTCAAAAGATCTTTCCTTTCCTGTTCACTACCTGGAATCTTGTCTTCACGGTCTGAGATTCTATCTTCACTTTCATTGAGGTGCTTTTTATAGCTTTCAGTGGAATTTTTGATTTCCTGTATATCTCTGTGCATCTGCTTTATGTATTCTGTTTGTTTCTTATATTGCTCATCTAGGGATTCTATGTTTTTGTTTAGTTCCTCCAATTTTTTAACTGTGTTTTCTTTAGATATGTTTAGCACCTATTTCTTTTATCATTTATTCTTTTCCGGGGAGATTATTTCTAGTTTGAATTCCTTTAAAGCTTCCCAGAAATGCTTATTTCAGTAGCTATTATGTTCGATATTTGAAGTGTATGGCATATATTTTCTTCTATATACATCACACCTAAGGTTCATTGGGATGGGATAGAGGCTTGATATTGTAATTTGGTCTTTCACTTTGTCATTTTCCTATATTTCTGTGTTTCAAGTGTGATTCGAAAGCTTCCTCAGGGTCGGTTGTAAATCTACTTCTCTGGCCACAGCTCCTAAGGCTCTGGCACCCAATTCCCCTAGGCCGCCATGCCTCTTGAACCAGTGGCGCTAGCTGCTTGCTTAGAATGGCACAGTCCCCAAAAAAGCTGAGCTCTGGGGAAAGTGGGCACCTGCTTGGTTGCTTAGAACTCCACAGTTCTCCAAGCACAGCCGGAACTGGCGTATGGATGCAGGTGTCTCAAACCTGCCTAGCTCTTCCAGTGCACCCAGATAGCTCAAAGGTCCCAAACAAGCTGGCCTCAGGGAAAGTGTGCAGGGCACTTACCCCAGGATGCTGGGCCTCTGGAACCAGTGGCACTAGCCTGGCTTTCTTAGAACTCCACAGTCCTCTAAACTCCTGGGGAGCTGGATGCAGGCACCCCAGACTCTCCTAGCTGTTCCACTGCACCCAGATGTTGCGAGGGTCCCCAAACTAGCTGCGCTCCAGGGAGAGTGGCCGCCCACCTCTTGCTTAGAAGTTCACAGTTCTCCAAGCACAGCTGAAATGGGAAGGCAGATGGAGGCGCCTCCAAGTGTTGGATATTTTATAGGAGCATTACAAAAAGTAACCAAGACCCAGTTTGACTACATTGGTGGCTGGTTGAAAGTTAGAATCCAGGGGATTGAAGGGAATTTTTAAATTCCCTTCATGGTTCCTCTGTGGTAGCTGGGAAGAACAGAGAGAAGAAAGGAACTTTGGGCAGGAATGCACCCCTCCAGGTCATGTCCCAGAGATCCACAACTTCCTATCAGACACCACGGGCTATGGCCACCTCCACATATGCTATCAAAAATGAATGAATCTGCTGAGGATGGCAGCCCCATCACCACACTGTCATCTTTTCAATCTCAGGAGAATTTGGGGGTTTTAGATGTAATTGAGGACACTTACAAAAGAATTCTAGAGCAATTCCTAGGTTCACATCTGCAGTACAATTAGACACACATGATCCTTTCCAAGACACTGATTACTGGTTTGTCCCAAGGTTTCCAGATACAGAGATATGAATCTTAAAAATGGAGTTACCTATGATATGTGATGGAAGCAAAATGTTATGAAGAAAATGAGAGATGTAGTTAGAGGCCTTCAGGTATATTATTTATGATATTTACTGTTGTATGCTATGTACACTGCTTTGATGCACAGGTAAGTGCAACACAATTACCTAAACACTATTCTTTGTTTATTTAAACACTAATTCCCCCAGCAAATAAAATATTCTTCATGAATGTCATTTGAAATTTCCTAACCAAATCCATCCAGTAGAATATTTTAAGTAAAAACTTCCACTAGATGCATAAACCTGTGGATTTTTGCTAATAGAATCATAAAATAAGGAGATTAGAGAATTCCTCTCTACAGCAAACAAAATAAAATGCTCGAAACAAATAAGTAAGTCTTCTTTAATAGTAAAGAATGTTTCTTTCTTGAGAGTCTTCAATTATGGAACTTTGCCTTCCTTGATATCCTGAACTGGTTATAGTTTGATGCCTCATCGTCATTTGGCTCTAGGAAGAGCTGAGATTCCCACTGATCCAGACACACTGATGAAGAGGATGCGCTCACCATGTCCTGTATCACAAGTGTGCCTTTGACTTGGGTGACCCAATGAGGCCCACTTCACCTTTTGGGTGAAAACAACCTCTAATGTGGCTCAGGAAAGGGATTTGCAGTGAAACCTTCCAGTGCAAAATAAAACACTCTTGGCAAAAATTTTTAATGCTGGTTCCATGGGGATTGATTGCTAGAGTGAAAATGAAGAACGGTTTCTGATTGCAATGTAGTGTCAGATTTCAATATAGACAACACTCTGGGTCACAATGAGAGTGTGGATTTAATACAATGATACCAGAGCTCAGGATTTGTGAAAATGGAATGTTCTATTCATATGAAGGTGACTTTTAGGTTTACTGCTTTATCAGAAGTAGAATGTTACTGGTGGGCATTTGTACACACACGAAATGATTGAATGGAGGTGACCTATGTGAACTTCAAACCTGGACTAACACAAGTGAACGTTAATAAATAGACCACAGATCTGTAGTGTAAGACCCAGTCACATGGTGGAATTTTAAAGCTCTTATCTGATGAGTTGCTTACACCATGAACAAAACTGTCTTTGGCATTGCACATCTACATTAATCACCAGTTACTGGTCAGGAGAATTTTTTGTCCCATACAATTACAATGTCCATCCACTTCATTCATTTTGAGACAATTTGGTTCAAGATCCAAAACTAAAAGTGGGCACTGGGAATGAATACGTATTTCTAAGATGAAGAAATAGTTTGAATGTAAATGTCTAAAATAAAGTTCAGCATCACTTTTTATTAATGTGATGTCACATAAAATAACCCTAAGATTGCAACTCACTCCATAAAAAGTGATTTTGGTCAAGATCTCAACCAATAATAGAAGCTGGAAAGGCTGTGTGGAGAAAGATGCCTTTGTCCTCTGTGGGTGGGAGTGTATACACGTGCAAGCTGTTTGGAAATCAGCATGGATATTTCTCAGAAAACTACAGTTAGAGGTCCTAGTTAACGCAAGTGTTTACCTGCTCAGCAACTTATTAGAAGCATTGAAAACACCACATTACAGTGAGACATCTACACCTGTGTTTTCCAACAGCATACTTTGCAATAGCCAACTTTTTGAAACAGCACACGTGCCTGTCAACTAAGGAATGGTCGAACACTTTTTTTTTTTTTTTTAAATCAGTGGTGACTACGGCCATACCACCCTGAACGCGCCCGATGTTGTCTGAAATCTATCGTGAGGTACCAGGGGTGTAAAATCACTCCTGATGGATCATTTCGAAGCACTTCTAGGTCAGTGGTTGCAACTGGAGACTATCCTCCTACATGAAATGAATTGGGTTCACATATCTAAACATCAACTTGTCTCCCTGGTATGAGAAATAGAAAGAGAAACTGAAGACCACTGTGCGGTTATTTCTCTGTCTCTCTCTCTCTCTCTCTCTCTCTCTCTCTCTCTCTCTCTGGCTATCTCTCGGTCTCTCCATCTGCATTGTTGTCTCCCCCTGTCTCTGTCTCTGTCTCTCTCTGTCTCTGTCTCTCTCTCTCAGCCTTCTTTCATTTTTCTGGTATGGGGTCTTGTTTCTTTTATCATTTTATATCCCATATTTGGCCATATTTCATATTTCCTCAAAACCCTCATTTTCACTGCCACAGTCAAAATACCACTGATTGCAATTGTCTGGGAATTGTTCTTGTTTGAGTTTGTGGACATGATTTAGTTACATTTTTCAGATTTTTGCAATCACCAAAAATTTTGTTCTGTCAGTTATGGAACCAGAGATTTTTAAAGGATCCTGGCCATGCACTCTCTTCCATCCTTGCCACCAGCTGGAGGACCTTTCCTTGTCTTATTGGTCTGGCCCGTGACTTTTGCAGAACTGTGAGGCCATCACCTCGTATGAGGCACAAGACACAACACTCACAAATGTGAAGTCACTCCTGATGGACTTCATTTTTATCCCCTCCCAGTGACATGCCTGAGAATTATGCAAATAATCTCAAGAACAACCATTTTCAGTTAAAAGACACCTTAGTTTTTATAGTTGAAATCACGTAGATATTTCTACTCATGATATAATAAATAATGTTTCTCATACATGAGTGCGTTTCAGATGACATCAATCAATTTATTGAATTAATTGGGATACAAAAGTTCGAGTGAATTGTAGCAGAGATGTAAAAGAAGGACAGGGAAGATGTTCAGGACTTTTTGGCCAAATAAAAAGTACAACTGAACAGGAAAGAAAGTTGGATCTTGGTGTTCATGATTAAGAATTCGTGGAGAAGTGCTACCGTGAATACTCCAGACAGGTTGCCATCTGTGGAAATGTAAAAGAACAAAGGGTTAATGTGGAGTTGAGTTCAGGTTAAGGACACCGTGCTTACTGCATAGGACTCTAAGTGTGATGGATACTAGTCCATAAGGAGCCCCGGGGTTACCCTGAAGCTCTTGCAAGGGCTCTATTGACATTGACAATCCGTTGACAATTGCATGTAAATTTATGTCTGCAATCACTTCTAGATTTACACCTAGACATATCCAGGCTGTTATCCTGGCAAATTAAATATTCAGTCTTGAATTCACCAGAGTAAAATGCTTAACCTGCAGAAATTATTATTATTTTTTGGCACAATGTATTGGCTTTCTGTGCAGATGAAAAAAAATCCTGTTCTTTTCTTTGGATCTGTGTTAGACTTTGAATGTCTTCACACATGCAGCAAGAAAAGTCAGAATATGAAGAGAGTCCTCTTGTATACTTCCTGAGACAACCATGAGAGGGAAACAATTCCAAGCAGGTTACATTATATTTTGACACAAGCATCTTGTCTCTACTCACCGAATCAATAGCATCACTCTGGACAATCATCTGAGAGGGGAAATTGTAGAGAGAAGAGACAAAGAATCTGGTTACAGGAATTTGGTAGATCTAAGAATTATCAATAATACTTTCAATAAAGTATGACTTGGAATAGCGATGTGGACTCAGAGATTGAACTGAGATTGTTTACTTTCCAAGTGTGCCTTGATACCGCAGGAGGTAAGGGGATGACTTTACCTGTTCCAGCGAGGTATTCTATGTTTTCCTGGGGAATACCCTTTACTTCATTTGCCTCCTCAAAGGAGAGCGTTTCTTCGGGTGTCAGAGAGTCTCTTTTTCCTGTGTTTCATGATAGACAAAGCAGAAATATCTGTGCTTAGAATGCCACCTGAATCCTAAAGCATCTCCTGGACCGCACTGTGCTGGTGTGACCTGAGAAATCCCACCATCACACCCTGGCTCCTTGCGGGAGCAAATATAAATGGCCTGGCCTGCACACGGGACACTGGACCTTACACCATCTCCCCATTTCTCAGACTGCTGAGGACAACTGAGTTCCTACATGCTGATTCTCAGTATCCCAAATTATATGCATGTCTATTCACATCAACACAATGGAGACAGTTCAATCTAAGAGCTGTAAATCTCTACACGCTAAAGCTCCTCTTTTTACACTAAATTCTCCACCCAATGCCTGATTTCCTGCAGAGCATCATCAGTTGAGTTGAGGTGTATTTTCAACTCTGGCCAAGTCTATAATCCCCAGCATCTTAGTACTAAGTAAAAGAAAACAAATATGGAAAATATCTTTCATCTTTCTCAAACCAATGTTTGTTCCATCCACCTGAAGTATGTTGTAGTACCAGGCTCCTCATGCTTTTCTGTGCGGTTACCAACCTTAGAACCATTCACATTCTGAGAACGTTATTTTTGAGGAGCAAAATCTGATATACTGTTGGTAGTCATGGCATCAGTTTCAAGTTTTATCAGTGGTAGAAAAATCATTGTGAACTAAAGCTTTTAAAATACAAGTCAATAGTCATGTGCACCATATACTGCTTCTTCTGCTGGCTTTGAATATATATCTTGATTCACTTGGTGACACAGCCCAGAGATATCAGTTTTTGCTCTTTGCCAAATGCCTTCCCAGCTAAGGTATGGTACACATTGCTGCTTGAGAATATATGTCTATTTTTCTAATAATTTTGCGAGGATCTCAGAGAATTTTCTCATCTTTTCTCCGAAGAAAACTGTGCAGCATCCTCGATTTCAGACAAGTTGAATTGGAAATCTTGTATGTAAAAGCATTTCTAAGGAAGGGCATGCAGTTAAATAATATAAAATCAAGGACAAGACCCTGTACAGTTTAGTACAGGTTGGACATTGGTGTGTGCATGGTTCTCTACAGAGAGAAAACATCTCAGTACTCACCAACGACTACATAGCCCCGTGTCACCAGTCCGTTCTCATCCACGTTTGTGTTAAAAAATGTGATCGTATCCTCTTGCTTATCAACAATTACGAAGGTGTTTTGGCCCGCGACTGTAAGTGAACAAAATATTTTAAAAATCAAGATAGTTACTTTTTCCCAAAACTCTTTCATGAGTTTTGTTTTGTTTGCAACTGACTGCTTTCCTGTCTTCCTCTGATGAGCATTTATTTTACAAACCTTCCTACAACATTTTAGGATTCCTTCAAGGTGACAGGTTTTACCTGTGACCGTCTTAGCAAGGAGAAACTTCCAGCACTCAAACTTGAGGAGTATCAGAGGGTCACCAAGGGTTTCACCGTGGCCAGGTTCTCAGTGTGTGCTCCCGAGGCAGAGGGTACTGCGGGGACCTGGGGCTTCCTACCCAGACCATCCAGCTCACGTATGAAATTTTCAGAGATTTTACCCGCAATTCTCCAGATCAACCAGCATTTTATTGCAGTTGCATAATTATATTATATGGTGCGTTACAATGCATTTAAATCAGAGATTTAAAGTTCTTGAAATCGAACTTTCTGCACTACCAAAGTATAGAACGAGATAAAAGTGACAGCATTTTGGATGACTTGACTATAGTCTTACAGTTGAAGTGGAATTTCCGATTGCTTTTATATTTCTATAAATAAAAATTTTGTTAGTTTTACAAAAGTGTAGCCAACACTGCACTACATAACAAAATCAGAATTTGTAAAAGCATAGCAATCTGTATTATCATTAATATGCTTTTGTTTTGTTTTTTTTTTTTTTTTACACAGAGTCTTCCTACGTAGCTCACTCTGTCCTATAAATCACTACGTAGCCCAAGTTGGGGTGGAACCCGAGACATTTCCCCCGTCTCCTTCACAGGAGCTTGGAATACAGCTGTGAACGAGCATGAATGGCAAGATTATCTTTTGAAATTGTTTTAAATCAGATATATTCAGCAGTGTGAAACTCTTCTTTGTTTTTAGATAATTTTGAAATTACCTAGGACTCCATTTGAGTATTTCATGCCCAACACTTAGCTTTGGACTTATGAATTTCATCACAACATAACTTTTAAAAATATTCTTTATCATGCATCTTTTAACATTTTAATAAGTTTGTTCACTGAGTGTAGGTCTCGAAGTCCAAGTGAGAAACAGTAACTTTTGACAGAAATGTGATTCATCAAATTCGCTTTATCTGATTCTTTAGGCCTGAAAACCATAAGGAAATTTAGAGAAGACAGAACTCAACGTGAGTTTTCAAATGTGAAAACTATTACACTTTACGAGACACATTGTCAGGAATTCTCCTCAAAATGGTCTACTTTGATACCAGGGTCCTTACCCAGTGACCAGAAATATATGATTGTTTTTAAGTCACAGGAAGTCTATTAGTGGGAATTTTGGGACATGTGCATTTCATGGCATAAAAAACTGATATGTGACAATCACCATATTTGTGGAACATGCCTCATCTGACTGCCTTCAGTGTTTATTGATACTAAAATTCCATGCTTGTATGTAAAATAACATTCATTTATCCTGACGTTCTATGATGATGTGTGCTATGGCTCATGTCTTGATGGCCCCAGAGCCTCATGTGGTCATGAGTGCAACCCTCTGGGGCTGCCTGGACCTATGGTGAGGGACCATGGCATTAATGCTGTGATACAAGTATTCACTCATCATGCCTGGGGTGATTAAGAAGGAGAGTGATACCAGCCTTTGAGCAGATAAAAAGAAAGGAAAATAGAGGGCATCGTGGTGGTCATTTGCTGTTGCTTAGAGCTTAGGTCCTGGCTTCTTCCGCCTGCCCTGCATTGCCATAAGACGGGTTTACTCTTTGATGCCGCTCTGCAGAGCCTTCCTGCCTTGAAGCCAATCATGGAAGGAACCCTGTGCAAACTGTGGGCCAAATGAACCATTTTTCCTTTGCACTGAGGGTGTGGTATTTTGTCTCTGCTAAGAAAGCAATTAGCTAAGACACTGACAAGGAATCGAACTGCAGTGGATTTTCCAAGATGGCCATGATGATCAATAGGATATATTTTACTGGAGCACAGGGGGACACACACCCAGATCTGATGGTCTTCAATCAGCACACATTCAAGCACTTCCTTTGAATTAGTATCTCACTCAACAAAACCAAGTACTCACATTGTACAGTGTACAAACCGCCTAGACTCTGTGAAGCAACCACTGTGCTCTCTTTGCACTCCCCATTTAATCTGAAAAACATGAAAATGCAAACCACACAATCTCCTTTCTGCACTCATTGTTGCCCTGAGGATCTTCAGGAGCTGTAATGCTGAAGACATTCAAGGCTTTCACGGTTACACCCTTTATGTCTGCACTGTAGTAAATCGTCAATATCCTAATGCCTGGTTGCTTAACAAAGGCGGTAAGGCTCTCTCAGGTGGAGCGCTTTGGTGACCTCTTGGGCATCTGAGCTCCTCCAGTTTCCTGAGAGCACTTGTGTCCTGTACTTGTGTTATTCACTTATCTTCCACCTCACTGGGGACAGATGGATTCATCTGCATGTCTCATGTAACAGCCCAAGTGGGGATTGGATGCAAACATCCTGTTCCCAGTTGGCTTAATAGCTGTATTATTTTGGCACTTTGAATCTAAGACATTCTTGTCTCTTACAAATCATTTCCTAGTGTTTCTCGTAAAGTTTGCTCTGTGGTACAGTCCTGGCTAGGAAATAAACACTTGAGTCTCTTCTAATTCATGGGACAATATTTCGACACAGACACTCCAAAGTCTGTCGATTGGCATGGAACCAGGGCCACAGATAGAGGAGGGTCCTGACCAATGCTTACAGATGGAAACTTAAGCCTATCTACAATTACACACCCTCTTCATATTGCAATCTCAAAATTGGAGGCCAGGTTCCTCACTGTTATTTTCCATTATGTGCCAAACGTCAGACTACATGTGGAGAAATGGACAGTCTGGTTTTGAGATGTGAGCAAATTCTGCTTACTTGACATAAAGCCTGAAGGTAATCTCAGAGCAATCCTCGTTACAGTCTATTTGACGGAAATAGACTCTCAGGGGGCCCCCCTCTTCGATCTTCTCTTTGTTGTCAGCAGACAGAGCAATTGTGTTCCAGTCTCCATTGATCTAGAAAAGAAAGATCTCACTGGAAACCTTAGACAATCACCTTCTGGTTGCCTCAATAACATCACAATGAAGCAATACCATAATTAATCTAAACCTCTGGATCACATTTGGATTTGAGCTCTGTAGAATGGAAGTCAAGAAGGCTAGTTCAATGGCAAATAGCAAGAATTTTTCAAGTTCTAAACTAAAGCTCTGTCTTCATACAGAATGGGAAATCTGCAGCTTCATTTCCCAGGCCACATTTTTGCAAAAGGAAATGAACCTGATGGAAAAAAAATATCAAGATACACAAAGTAAAATATTCTTTGAGGGATGCAGACACCCATTGAAGACCATTCTCATGAATGTCAACTTAACTACTGGCAAAGAAAAGAGAGAAACACACACAAGAAGAACTCAGTCCAGACATGCTTTGCTGTATTACCTGTGAAGAGTCAACACATGACAAACCCACTGCAAGAGCGAGGAGGAGAATCTGCACCATGATGGAGCTGGAGTGGCCTTTCCTCTGGCACAAGTGAAGGGCAGGTGAGCTGCTGAAGGGAGTCTGAGCTGATGCCTCTCTTATAGCCCTGCTCTCTTGACAGGGCTTCTGGGCTACCAGTGGCTCCTCCTCTGACCTTAAACTCTAGCATTTCCTGGTTGGCAAAGATAACATATTTGTGTGTCTCTTTTTAAACAAATTATGGTGAGATTAACGTCAAGAGATGATTAAATGTTGACTGAATCGCTGACATTTGTGCCCACAAAGGGAATCAAATATGTAAGTGGTGTTTCAAGGACATGCCTATTATTGTGCCATACCTCCCAAAAATGGAGACAGATAATGAAGCAGCAAATAGATCAAAGACTTCTAGCTGATTTCTTTCATTTTCTCTGAGTATGCTTACACTTAATTTCCAAAAATACAGACAGGTCTCTCTAGGTTGGTCCCATTAGAAGACAGCGCTCTCTAGATTGGTCCAATTAGAGGACAGCTCTCTCCAAAATTCATTCCTGATAAGAACTTTACAGAAAATTGGAATAAATGGTCTTTACCTCAACATAATAAAGGCCATCTATATCAAATCAACAGCGAGTATCATACTAAATGGCCAAAAATTGAACACCTTTACTTTAAAATCAGGCACAAGCCAAGGATATCCTTTATCACCGCTCCTATTTAATATAGTACTGGAAATACTAGCCAAAGCAATTAGACAAGAGAGAGAAATAAATGCAGTAATGATAGGAAAATAAGTTACATTATCATTGTTTGCCGATGACATGCTACTCTACATAGAAAACCCCCTAAACTCTATTGAAAGACACTTAGATATAATAAATAAATTCAGTAATATAGCAGGATACAAAATCAATACTCAGAAATCAATAGCATTCCTATACACTAACAACAAAATCACAGAGAGAGCAATAAGAGAAACCACACTCTTCACACTAGCAACCAAAAATATATATATATATATTTAGGAATTACTCTTATGAAAGAAGTGAAAGACATATATAAAGAAAATTATAATACACTGAAAAAGAAATTGAAGATGATCTCAGAAAATGGAAAGACATCGCTTGCTCATGGATAGCAAGAATAAATATTGTGAAAATGGCCATGCTCCCAAAACTCTTATACAGATTCAACACATTCCCGATAAAAAGAGCACCAACATACCTCACAGATTTAGAGAAATCACTCCTAAAATTCATCTTGAGCCAGAAGAGACCTAGAATAGCAAAGGCATTTCTAAGCAGCAAAGGCAAGGCAGGAGGCATCACAATCCCTGACTTGAACTTATACTACAAAGCAACCATAGTAAAATCAACATGGTATTGGAATCAAAACAGAGCCAAAAATCAATAGAATAGATTAGAAGTTACAATCACAACTACAAACACACTCACCCACCTTATCTTTGATAAAAGGGCCAAACAGCTTCACTGGAAGAACGACAGTCTCTTTAATAAATGGTGTTGAAAAAACTAGCTCTCCATGGGCAAAAACTACAATTAGACTCACGGCTATCACCATATACTAAATTAAAATCTAAATGGATCAAATATATGAATATTAAAACAGAAACACTAAATCTATTAGAAGACAAATTGAGTAGAAACCTTGAAAACACAGTTGTAGGTAGAGAATTCATGAACTGGACTCATTCCACATTAGAAATACTTCCCAGAAGCAATAACTGGGACCACCTTTTATTAAAAGTTTCTGCATGTCAAAAATAGTCTCCACTTCAGTGAAAAGAAAACCGACAAACTGGGAATTGATCTTAGTGAACTCCCCCTCAGAAAAGGGACTTTTGTCTAAAACATATAAGGAATTTAAAAAACTCAGACCCCCAAAATTCAATGATCAAAACCAAAAATGGCATCGGAGGTGAATACACCCGTCTCAGATGAAGAAATACAAATGGCAAATAAATACATGAAAAATTGCTGTCATCATTATTCATTAGGGAAATGCAAATGAGAACCACACTGAGATTCCTTCTCACTCCTGAAATAATGGCCAGGATCAAGGAAATCAACAATAACAAATGCAGGAGTGGCTGTGGGGAAAACGTATCTCTTCTACACTGTTGGTGGGAGTGTAGACTGGTACAACCTTTGTGGAGGACAGTCTGGAGATTTCGCAAAAAGCTGGGATTGGAAGTCCCATTTGTTCCAGCTATTCCACTTCTAGGCATCTTCCCAGAAGAACTGAAAGCATCATACCACAGTGATATATGTGCACCTATGTTTATAGCAGCACAATTTGTAATTGCCAGATCTTGGAAACAACCCAAGTGTCCATCAACTGAGGAATCAATAAAAATGTTTTGGTATTTTTATACAATGGACTGCTACTCAGTTATAATGAAGGATCACATTGAGATATTTATAAATAAATGGGTGCAGCTTGAGACCGTATTCATTACTGAAATAAATCAAACTCACATGTGTGAATACCAAGTAGTTTCCCTAGTGTAAGAAAGGATTCAAATCTATAAAAGTATGTGGTAATGATTCCCCATTATGTGGCCTTGAAGCCTTATAAAGTTTTCACTCATTAATTGGAATGCCTTTATTCTGGGCTGCTTGATATTATTGCCTGTGATGAAATGAACAGCTATTTTGAAGAAAACAAGACATCATAATAGCTAGTGCTGATTTACTATCATCTTGTTTTGAAGCCACACCAAACTGATGCTCTTCTGTCTCCATTGGTTTTATCATGTTGTATCTTACTGGCTTTTATTATATGTGATATTATAAACAAAAATTTATATAGTCAAAGAGATAGTATAGAAACCATCATTCATTTTCCTTTAGCTGGTTCTAAATACCCTGTAATACTTTCATCCACTTGAATGGTTTCACTGTCTTGATATGTCTGATGCTATAGTATCCGAAGTTATATTCAAATACTTCAAGAAAAAAAAAAAAACTATGGTAATTACTCTTAAGTCAGGTTATTAGGTGGTGAAGGACTAGGTTGCTGAAACTGTCATGCTTTGACCTGTATTTTTATGTTGCTATGTCTTCTTTTATGTCAATCTACCCCTTATTCATTAAAAAATTATTTATTTATTTTTTAATTTTTTATTGTTTTTTTTTAAGTAAGGGGAAAAATCAAGAAAATCAGCAGAATATATTATAGCAACTTTTTTGATTTCCTATTAACTTGATTTGAAGTCCTGTATTACTCCCACTATCTTGTTTTGACTGATTAGACTCTGTTGCGTTCTGTTTGATAGTATCAAGTTTGAGGCTATAGGCAACTACTTTGAAGGCAATAAGATTCGCTATGATGCCCATTCTGGTTTGACTATTATCTTCTTTTGAAGTCCTGTAATGTTCCCAACGGTTATGTTTTATTGGTCTTGTTCTGTACTGTTTTGTTCAGTTTTATTATACCTAATGATGTAGGCAATTCTTTTTAAGAAAGCAAGAAACATTATAGTAACCATTGTTGATTACCTTGTACTCTGTTTTGACATCATGTACTATGTCTATCTTTGGTTTTTACAGACAGCTTTGTTTTGTCATATTTGGATTTGTTTTCTTCTAAAAAATGCAATAAGAACTATGGGAGTAATCAAACCCAAAATGTGTAAACTTTGTTGTAAAAAAAAAGGAGAGGAAAAAAAAAGTTCTCTAAAGGATACAACTGCAAGTGTGTTTAGGTGTGTTAGGATAGATGACCATATTATGGAGTTTTTGTTGGATCACTGAACATAACTGTTTGCCGTCTCACTGTTGGAATGTCCACTTTGTATGCTTTGACCCTGTGACTTGAGCAACTATTTCTAAGATGACAATGTGTAATCTATTAACTGGTGATTTCTTACCTTTTTTTTTTTAGTCCTGTATTACTTGCACCCTTACACTGTTTTGTCTTGTTTTGTTTTGTTTTTTCCTTTTAAATAAAATTTTAAAAAAGCCACGGGAAATTAGTAGCATAGTGATGTGAACTATTATCTTGTTTTTTGTTGTTTTTATTTTTTCTTGTCTTATTTTCTCCTTACTGTATATGTGTTTTAATTTGCTTCAAAGAAGTTTGTTTTTGCATCTGTAGTATCTGTTAAACATTTTGGAAATTATTTATTAGATGAATTGATAAAAAGATATGGGGTTTTTTTTTTATAGAATTCGATGCTTCTCAGCCATAAGGAAGGATAACCTTCAGAGATCCATGGGAACGTGGATTCCACTGAAGATTATGCTCCTACGAGACATAAAGCAGATGCACAGGTGTAAACACCATTCCATCTCCTTAGTGGAAAAGCAGATACTTTATTTTTTTTCAATTCAGATCTTCTTAACATATCAGACATTAACACACATTCAAGGTTTTCAAGATCAGGCAATTTCTTTGTGTGTTAATATCCCTACAAGTAATGACACGACTCACGGGGATCACCTCAACCCCCTGACAGCTCTCCTTAGGAGATACCAGTGAGTTCCTGACACGGAGACCTCCCCACCTGAGAACAGGCTAACCAGAAGACACTCAGTTTCTCTCACAAACCTAAAATGTTTTTGTTCTCTTTTGTACCAGGAACACCTGTACGATAAAGAGTTGTAAAATTTCATATGAGAAATTTTTCTTCCTGGCTGAAAACCCTGAACATGACACCTCCATGTACATTCCAATTTCTTAGTCATGTGTGTGAGATTGCAGTGACCCATCCTCCCTAACTCTCTCTTCTTTTTTCAGTCTGTATGGCAAAGGCATGGCTTGCCCTGTCTTCTGCAAAGAACACTCCTCTGCCCAGGAACTGTGGGCATCAGCTCTAGTTTGCAAGGACCACCATATTGTACTTGCTGAGCCTGTCTTTGCAAAGAAGAAAAGAGAAAGAAACTCAGGCCATGAGGAACTAAATATTACTCTGTTCCCACTGTTTAGAACCACATGAATTTAAAAGATGACAGAGGTTCCTCTAGAAAATAAGGGAATTAACTGTATCCTGACATGATAGCGTGGAAATTCCAATGTACCTTTTAAGGGGATTCAGTTTCTCATACCTGGAGTCAAATAA